ATACGATTCTATGATTGGTTTATGGTATGTATCTTTTTTGTTGCAACTCGAATGACCGAATTCACTTTATGGGGAGAAACAGTCGTGTATGAGACACGTATAAATATAAATTGTTATTTTTATTCATTAATGCGTCTGAAGAAATTTGTAAAATTAGAATGCATTTTTGATTGATTTTTCTCATGTTACATCAATATCAGCGGGTAAATGAGCAATAAACTGCAAATAAACTGCATTCTAATTTTACAAATACCTTCAAATACATTGACAAATTAAGATAACAAATTATATTTACACGTGCTTTGTACACGATTTTCTGTTCCCACGAAGTGAATTTGGTCGTACGAGTTGCAACAAAAGAACATACATATTATAAACAAATCATAAAATCGTGCAAAATAGCGACATAAAACAACATCGATCACAAATAAATACTTATTTTCGAAATGTCAAACCTCTTGAAACAAATCGTTAAACAATAGAGGTTTAAAATTAGTAATAAAAATTAATAAAAAAATTTATTATCATAAATTTGAATTTTATAATGCGTTCGAATATTTATGTTGCACGAAAATTCGATGTTCCTTAATATTTTTTTAATCATATAGATAACGTTTTACACTAAATCGAAAGTTTCTTGCACATTTTGACACACTTACATACTATACTATTCTATACAATACTATATTACTACTATACTATATTTTCCCTTCAATGCATATTTACTTAAATATGAGCCGTTTATTTTGAAAGTGGCATAAGTCACTTTTTCAAGCAAATCGAGTTAATGGTAACACTAATTACAATTGAACGGTATCTTTTCATTTAAAAAAAAAAAAAAAAAACAGTGACTTATGCCACTTTCAAAATAAACGGCTCATATATAACACACAAGTCGAAGTTACAAAAGCGTTCGAACACTTTCGAATACCCGTTGTATTTCGTTAGCGCTATTTTCGTCGGAATTGTCGCGCAGAGATAAGCAAACGTAAATAGAGGAGAAATAGGTTGTTCGGTAAGTATCCGGTATATCAAAACAAGTTTCATCATTTTCCATTGGGCTACATTGGCCGAGATAACGTCTCAATCGACGAGTACAACCGCTCACGCTATCGACAGAACGATTATAAGAGAAGCCCTCTGTAATTTCTACCGATCGAAACAGATCTACACTCGGACAGTGACGACGATTAACAATTAACAACTCGATCCTAATCACTTCGATCTACCGAGAGACTTCGAAGTTCTACCGAAAGAATAGCACAGAAGTCTGCGCGGAACGGACAACAATCACGGGTTCACAAATCACAATGCCAGACGATCTCGGGGTCCGATCTTCGTCGAACGATTCCACGAGCGTAACTCACGTCGTACGTTCGTCCACTCCTCATCTTACACCATGAAGAGTCGGCGGACCGGATCGTCCCGCGGAGCCGAAACAATTAGCAATAAATCGAGGCGGCGTCGCGAGCGGCGGCGGCGGCGGCGGGAGCAACGATATCCGTGAAAATGGGAGCGAACGGCGATAACGCGTCGACGGCGATCGCGGTCGATTTAAGTGTATCAGCGGTGCCGTCGAAGGCACTCCGGGCTGATAAGAGAAGAAGAGGGGGGGAGCGGGGAACAATGCCGCCGCGCCGGCGGCTTCGTCGGAGGACTATCGGCGCGTGTGGGTGTCGCCGGAAGAGCCCGAGCCAGTTGCCGTGCGAATCGACCTGTCCGGAGCGGATTTCGACGGCGATCGGCTGCTCGCGCCGATCGTTTGCGCGACACTAAACCGAGCCGAGGCTCCGGGCGCGCGCGCGCACGCGTCTTCGGCCGTGTCCCATTGCGAAACAAGAGGAGGATCCACTGTCAGGGCCAAGAGCGAGCCGCGATCGGCGCCGCAGCGAACTGTTCCCCGCCGGGAAATCGGCAACGCTCTCGGTCCGAATACTGCGCGCGAACACACGTTTCAGAAACGCGCGAACGCACAGCGAGGACACGCTCGCTGTCGGCGTCACACGTGCGCGACGATTTCGTGGTTCGCGTAGAGAACGTGAAACGACCGGTGAAGCGACCGTTTCGTTTATTCAAAGAAATTCTGGTTAATCGTTGCTCAGCAATAAAGTGGAAGTTAAGCTTTTAGGTACGGCTGAATTCTGCGCGAGGCTATTTCTCTGGACGGCAGAGTCTGATACTGTATATTCTGTCTGTATATACAGAGTGTCCCAAAAATATATCACAATCCGAAAGTGGCGGGTTCCTCAGGCCATTCAAAGCAACTTTTTCCTTTACAAAAATTTTCTCCGAGGCACCGTTAACGAGTTGCGAGAGGCGAGCTCGGCTGGCGCGAGGCGATCGAGCCAATGAGCGGAACTGGGCTACGCACGCTGGTCGGCTGGGCCGCCTCGCGTCAGCCGTACTCGATTCTTATTGGTCACGGTTTTTCGTTAATAACTCGTTAACGGTGCCTCGGAGAACATTTTTGTAACGGAAGAAGTTGCTTCGAATGATCCGAGGAACCCGCCATTTCCGGATTGCGAGACATTTTTGGGACAGCCTGTAGACTGTTGTAAATCGATGCGAAGACAAAAAAAAGGTGTGGAACAATGCATATGAAGACGATTATTCGATCCAAACGATGAGCGAGTGAGCTGCTAGAGTAAGCCACTATAGTGGCGCGTCGTTCCGAAAGATGACATCCGCGGAAGCCACTATAGCGGCGCGTCGTGCCTAAAAGATTAATTGTAAAACGAGCCGAAGCCGCGGCGATTCGGTAACGAACGGTGCAGGAAAAACCGGCCGAGCACCGCCGATCAACAGAAATTTTTATCGGACACAATCGACCGCTCGTTTCTCCTTTTGTATGCTTTTTTTTCTTTTTTTTTTGCTGCGCCGTCGATGCCCGCATTTTTCTCCTCGGTGTGCGCGCACGCGATCGACTCGCGGATATAAATTGCACGCGCGTGACTACGCGGGTGCACCGACTGCGGCAAACAATGTGCAATTGTTACCGGGAACGGCGAGCGGCGCGGCGCCGTGTCGCAACCGTTTTTCCCCCCACGGATTTTCGACCGAATTTCGGCCCACGGTGACAACTGTTGTCCGGGTTCCGGGGGCTTTGACTAACGTGTCGCCCGAATTCGTTCTGCTGATGGCGCGGAAAATTCGTTTAGAGACGGCCGGTGCTCGGCGAGAGAGCCGAACTTTTGCGATCGGACGAGAGTTCTCGTTTCGGGAGTTTCGGGTTTGCTGGCTGGATATCGTTTCTTTCGGTTTTATTCGGGGAAGATTCCTTTGAGTCCAGCGTTATTTACGGATTATCGATCGACGCGAGGAAATTACATGCTAGTTTAGCAAAGGAGAACCTTAATCACACCTTCTTTTGTCGTATGGTGGCATACACCTATTAAAATAGCTGTAAATTTTGTGAAAACTTAACTAAATGACTTGAATTTCTTTTTTAGATGACGCTCTCCGCGTTAAAAAACGAGGGTCGCCTAAACAAAAATTCAAGTCATTTAGTTCAGTTTTCAAAAATGTACAGGTGTTTTAATGTGGTGTTTTTATTCCAAGTAATATTCCAATAAATTTTTTTTCATTTTGATATTACCTGGAATGACAAAATAATAAAAATCTCTCGTTTTCAACTTTTTTATCTGAAAGTTAAAAAACGAGGGTTTTTAATTTGTTCTTCTCATTCCAAGTAATAGCAAAATTAAAAGAAAAAGCTTTTTCTTTTAATTTTGCTATTACTTGGAATAAAAACACCGCATTAAAACACCTGTAAATTTTTGAAAACTGAACTAAATGACTTGAATTTTTGTTTAGGTGACCCTCGTTTTTTAACGCGGAGGGCGTCAATAGCAAAATTAAAAGAAAAAGCTTTTTGTTTTAATTTTGCTATTACTTGGAATGAGAAGAACAAATTAAAAACCCTCGTTTTTTAACTTTCAGATAAAAAGGTTGAAAAACGAGAGATTTTTATTATTTTATCATTCCAGATAATATCAAAATGAAAAAAAGAAGCATTTCAGTTATCGTCTAGTAGACTAGACCCTCTGTCATCTAAAAAAAAATTCAAGTCATTTAGTTCAGTTTTAAGATAGTCGCTGCGTTTTAAAAGGTGTACAAACACTTTTGTGGAGCACTGTATGTTCGCCGTAAAGTAGCCTTTCGCTTGGTGGGACAAATTTTCTGTGTTGTTCGAGTGGCTCGCGTTGGGTGTCAAGAGATTTATGTTTGACGCGTTCGCTATCAGCGATACATAGAGTCATATTTATCGTATTTATCGTATTAACACTAGAACTACCGTTAACGAGACCGGTGTACAGTTACTCACAAAATTGAGCGCATACCTTTCAAACGCGATAACATTTTTAAGACTGGACTAAGTGACTTGGATTTTTTTTTAGATTACAGAGGAACTATTCCGCTGGACGATGACCAAAATGCTATTGTTAAATTTTGCTATTAATTGGAAAGACAACAAAAATAAAAAAACTCTCGTTTTTTAAACTTCTTTTTATGTGAGCCAATAAGGGTAATCAGTTAATTAGTTAACACGTTGAGTGCCACGACAGCCATCGGTGGCTGATAGTGAACTTTCCGTTTAGGAAACTGATAGTGTAAAATATGATAAAACTAAAAACGCGCGTGGACTGACGGAGATTTCCTTAACAATTCGTGTGAGAGAGAAGCTCAACGTATTAATAATAATTTCATGGAAATCAGTTGACGTTATTATGAGTTACAACAAATTGAAAATGGCAAAAATCGTAGTTTTATCACGATTTTGATGCAAAGAAAATTGGAAAGAAATCTGCAGTTTTTTCAATCTTTCAACGCCTGTGGTTCGACTCTGGGTTAACCAATTTCGATAAAATTTTATAACAACGGCAAGATCGGATTTATTTAAAGATCGCGCGAGTTCTACGATAATATATGCTTGGATAAACAAGTTTATATGTTATACGGATAAATTGCGCATATTTATGCAAAATAGAAATTTTCGAAGACGATTGTGAGAAACCGAAATTGAATGACAATAAATTGCTTCTTTTAATCGTTATAATATACTGAAAATAGTGTATAACTGTATTATTAAATTCTTCTTATCTATTCACAATGTTATATCAAATTAATATATTATATAACATAACAATATATAAATTATTATATTATATAACACTATTTTCACAAATCCATAAAATCCGCAGTTTGGTTATAAGAATATGCTGAACTGTGAAAAAAAATCAATAGACGTCAATCAATAAGTCATTTTTGATGAAAAAGAATATGATAAAAATGTCGTCAAAGAGAAGCTATAAATTCTCTAAATATCGTGTGTGCTATGTATTACAATTCTCGATAATTATATTCACAAAATTGCTTCCACGTTCATCACGTGAAATACAAAATCGTGGTCGTCGTACACGTGCGACGCTGGTAGCGAACGTGTTAAAGAAGACTATTCTATCGCACAGAGAAATATTGAAATAAAACAGCCTTTTTATTCTGTTCCAATCCGACTACTGGAATCGGAATCTCGCGCGCGGCAAGATCTGTTATCTAATCATTTCTAATAGCACAACAGGTGCTCTCGATTTATTATTCTCGCGGGCGACCAAAAGCGTTTCAGATTCTCAGCATGAATTTCCACTTTGAAACCGTAAATCGACGCGCTCGAAGAAGACGTCCGTTGTCACAGTGGGGAACAGCGACTTCGTCCTTACTTACTACTTAGCAGAAGCGGTTTCCCGTTCGAACGATAAAGCCGCGCGTCCGCAAAGCAAATTTGAATGAGTTATCAGCGTTCGCCCCGCTATTTTCGCCGGGGAAAAGAGCCGATTACGCGCACGACCGGTTGTTTAACGAAAACACGTTGCGCAGATAACGCTCGCCGCCTGATTCGGCCGAATTTAAAAAGGATTCAGCGCGACTCCGTCGCATCGCGCACCAAAAGGATTACATACGTACACCGGCGTCAGAGCCAATATGGCGCCTGCTTGTTTCTGATAAGATATACCGGCATTGGAAATAATACGAAATTCGCGTGACTCTTGTCGGCAGAACGGCTCGATAAGAGTTCTCGTCGAACGGGAAAGAGCGAGAGAGATCGGACCTCGCGGGCGTGTGTAGTTGTCGTCGTCGTCGCCGACCGCGATGAAACGATTTATCATCGACGAGCCGTTGTTAATTACGAGCGTGCCGGATCGATCGGATTTTCTTTTTTTGCGACGCGATCCAGCGAAATTCTGGAGCAGGGACGAAAGAGATACAGTAGATTCTCTCAAATTGTCACTCAACTTGTAAATAGAAGTGGACAATTCGAGAACAGGAGACACCGATTATTCGAGCCTCGCGGATCGTTTTTATATTGTCGGATTTTCTTTGCACGTGATCCTTTGTTTCCCTGTTTTCGTTATGTCAAGGTTATTTCTATTGTTCTTAGTATTTCTTGTTACTTGTCGTATGCGCTGAATAAAACAATAATGCAACATAAACGATGTATCAGATGCTTCTCTATAATATACACTGTTTATTTGATGAGACACATATACTTGTTAAAATATCAAATTTTAGGCAAATGTTAAAGATACTTTTGTACGTAAGGGGCATGCTCGCGAATTATTAGGTTTTCTTCACATTTAGGCTTTCTTTATCCGATTTTCTTTACATGTGAACGTTTTTCTCTCTGTTTTCGTTTTGTTTGTGGCATAATCTCGTTTATAGTCGTACGGTCCATTATCAGAGTCGCATTTCAACAAGGAAGATTTTCTCAAAAGTGTTCCATTTTGTTATTTCTTTTGAATTTCGTAAGGATACGAATTCAACCGATATTCGTGTAATTTTTTTATACGAGTATGAACTTG